TTGGCGGGACGTTGTGAGAACGGTTTTGGGACGTCACGGTCACGTTACAGAAACGTTGTGACGACATTCAAATGCATGGTCGGATGACGTTGTCACGCCGTTGTCTGGAGTCTACAAAATTACGTTGTCACAACGATAAATCGGAACGTTGTGGTAACCATTTGACAACGTTTAAACGACGTTGTAACAACGGCAAATTGTTAGCTGGGATCAGCGATAAGGCGTCAGTTGTCTAGTACATATGTTGCTATTAGAGGTCACTGGTCATACCAGGTCAGGTCACAGGTCAGGTCACCAAAGGTCACCAACTACCAAGGGTCACCACATGAACACAACTTTACCTACTAAGGTTGAGCGATGCATGTTTTATGGCCAGTTTTTCATTTCCAACTCAATGGTATTGGTTATAAGACCATCAGGTACGGTTTAGGTCACTTTCTGGTGGAGGTCAGGTCAAGGTCAGGTCAAAAAAGGTCAAATTTCAAAGTTGATATTTTTGCATAAAATGGGTATCGATTCGATGCAGCTCGTCACGGGGAGTTTATTGGTGGTCTTTGTTTTGTGCTACGACGTCTAGAATTGCTAAAAATTGAGTTTGAAAATTTGACGTCATCAATTTTGAACAGTTTTTTCGCTATAACTTGGCCAAAAAAAGAGGTATTGATCTCAAATTTGGTATGTAGATAGAAAGCGGTAGGGACTATCACATATATTCCGTTTTTCGAAATTCAAAAAACTTTTTGGATTTTTCGGCTATTATATTCAAAAAATCTGATTTTTGGGGGTCAAAATCCAAAAAATTCGAAAAACCGAAATAGCAGTTTTGTAGCCCTCTTGATTTCACACCTTTTATGTCTGGAACATTTTTCTGTATCTCTAAAGCTGTAGGCCTGACAGCTCTTTCCGCGAAACCTTTTTTTGGGTCGAAAATGGCAAAAATGACGTCACTCTGACGTCATTAGCGGCCAACCTATCATAGCCTTTGGAAAATTTTTAGTCACCATGTGCGCTAGCTACTCTCGGGAGGGTACTGAAAGTTTGGTGACGATCAGCGCAGCGGTTCTCGAGATATATCGAACAAACTAAAGGGGGGGCAAAAAAATGCCCCCCCCCCCCCACCGCCTGGAAGGTTAATGAGCCTAGACACACTTTCCGACTTTTGATAACGTGCCACGCGGCAACGCTGTAGGAGGGAGCCCGAGCGCCGTTTGTTACGGAGTCATCTGACCGGACCTAATCCCGTCTGACCGGACCCCAATGTGCCTTATTGAAACGGGCTAGTACTGGCCAGCAAGGGCCATCTTGAAGAATCTTCATCTTGGCTTGGGCCCTGTGTGTGACGCCGGACCACTTGGGTCCGAACCAGAGCCGACGTTGACCGCCTCCAGGCTGATCTGAATGAAATCACTAGATGGTCAAACACCTGGCTGATGCCCTTGAACAAAGGCAAGTGTAAGGTCCTCCACATCGGCCACTCAAACAGCGAATTTGAGCCCTCACCTTTGACTGCGCCCGTCTAGCCAGCTGCACTATCGAGAAAGACCTCGGAGTACAAATCGACTCCGAACTGAAGTTCCGAGAGCACGCGGCCTCTGCTGTGGCTAAAGCGACACAGATCCTAGCAGTTATCCGACGAACGTTTGCTCTCCTTGACGAGACCACGCTCCCATTACTTTACAAGACGCTGGTAGGTACGTCCTCACCTCGAATACGGCAACCTAATATGGGGCCCTTTCAACAGATACGACCAACGTCTGGTCGAGCGCGTGCAGAGAAGAGCCACTCGGCTGGTTACCAACATCCGCGGCAAACCGTACGAAGAACGCCTGCGTTGCTTGAACCTCCCGTCCCTCTACTACAGGCGCAGAAGAGGTGATATGATAGCAACGTATCAACTCCTGCACAGTGGTATGGACATTGAGGCAGGCAGTTTCTTCAAGCCGGGAAACGCGACTTCAAGAGGCCACTCGTTGAAGCTCATGAAGTTTCCGGCTGCATCCCGCGCTCGGAGAAATGCCTTCGCTTCCCGAGTGATAAATGACTGGAACGGGCTGCCAGCTGAGGTTGCTTGTGCACCATCCCTGAACGTCTTCAAGGCAAGACTCGATGCGCACTGGTCGTCAAACGTTTACCATACACGACGCCTTGCACGACACAGACTGAGCTATGCAAGGGAGCTATGCTGACACGGATCTCGCCAAGATCGGGTCCCACAGGCCTTACAGCCTAAAAAAATCCCGGGCTGTTACTGTAAGGTAAGGTAAGGTAAGGCAAGGTAAGTATTTTCTTGGATGCTGGAGCGAGGGTTCCTTGTATGCATTATGCATCCAATTTCCAACAGGTCAATTTTTGTTTTGTTTTTGACTGCTTTTTGTTGCTCTGCTGGTCTTTATTATGTCTGTATTTTAGTGCGTCTTCTCTTCTTTTATGTTGACCTTGGTAGATTGAAATGACGCGTTGTTTTGTTTTGTCTCTTTCCACTGTGTCACCGTCGCGGTTTCTGTGTGCGCTGCGCGGAGTCAGCGTGGGCTGGTATGATGGATGGGAAATAGGGTAAAAAGTGTTCTGAGTTTCCAGAGTCGGGATTTAGTACTCTTGTCTTCTTTATTTCAACATTATTGTCGATACTAATGCGCATCAGGAAGGGGCTTGGTGAGGCCACTAGGTCAGTCTTCTGGCGTGAGCCGCCAGACTGCAAAGCATGGCAATTTCGACGAGATCTCGTCGGTGCGGGCTTGTTCGGCTGGTGCGGATTTTGGAGTGGTGCGGTGCGGATTTTGCCTGGTGCGGTGCAGATTTGGCTTGGACCTTGATGCGGTGCGGACTTCGCTTGGTCTTCTTACCGGGCCGGGTTTCCTTGTTGACTGTTCTTTGGAAAGCCCTACAAATGCGTGCCAGCCACGGTGGCGCACGGTGACGGAGAAAGGTTTTAAATTTACTCTACGAGCTAACAATTGCGGCAGAACAAATCCATTCTCGCCTTGGAAATTAACGTGATGACGTCATTAGAACGAAGACTGGTTGCGGTGGTGACTGGTATGTCACATTTGCGAGCAGCTGGTTTGAATTGCCAATCATCACGCTACTTTGGAATGACGTCATTAGTTTTACTCATACGAAAGTTTGTTGGGGCGATTTTATCAAGGCTCGTCAAATTCACACGTGACATTTAGCATGTAGAAGGCCCACAGAGAGGGGAGAAGTTCCGAATGTCATGTGACCCAATATGCCCTCCGGCGCCCTGTTGTCACCGGCGTCCGTCTATTTGCTCTATTTCAAACTTCCGGTACAAGTGCGGGCGCGGCCCCGTGGTGAGCCCCGTGGTGAGCGTTGCTCGTGAAACTGAAATTGGAGAGGAAATAATTATAGTGAGATGAATGAAGTCCCTTGCATTTTAATTGCCTGTGGGTTCGGTGCGGATATTTTGGGCTCTCGGCTCGCTTTGGTGCAGATTTTCCGGCTCAGTTTGAAGGGTTGATGCGGATTTTGAACTTGGGCCGGTGCGCCTCGTCGACCTGCATGCCATACTTTGCAGTCTGGGCGTGGGGTGCCTGTGTGACTTTTTAATCGAGTCAATATTGAACTGTTCATTGATGTAAGCACTTTGATCTTAACCAAATATTAATAGCAATATTAATTGCAATAATGTGAGATATGTTCTTTTTCATTACCTCCAGCTAATCCTATCAAATGGGTTCAATGGCGTGAAATGTGGATGCTTGTGGATGCTGTGGATCTGAATGTTGCTTGAATGAATGAGTGAATGAATGTTAAGTAATAAATTGAAATGAATGCTGAATAATTTTGAATGCCACCAGTGCTGTGAATGTGCATTCAGAACATTTGGTTAACTATCGGGCCCATGTTTGGCTGGGATCACGATTTTGTGTATGCCAGCACTCAGCAGTCAGTGCAAGATTCCCATGTGTTTCCAGTCTTTATGTGATTATAAACATTCCAACATGTGAAATAATGTTTGTCCCATGCATTATGGTATGCGTTGAGGCCATGTGAAGGTCAGGTCGATGACATTGATCCCTTCATTTTTTAGTTTTACGCGTTTCTAGGGTAGTTTTATTATAACTCATTTTGAATTTAGCAGTTAGCAGTTAGCACCCACTTGAACATTTCAGAAGTAGTTTTGGTGCCTGCATAACATGTTACAAAGTGATCTACAGATAGCCATCAGGTAAAATGATCATTATTTATATCAGATTGATAAATTCTTGTATTCATTTTGCTCCTGCTAAAATAACTTGATTGTTTCTGTGTCAAGTTAATTCTAACGGCTGTAATCTACCAGTATAACGCCTTTTGGGGCGACTAACGGAGCGAGCGAGAGGGTGGGCCTTGCACGTGCGAAATTGCGAGGGGGTACCTCCAACTGACTTGTGCACGGCACCCTACTAACTGGTCTCTAGCGATGTGCCAAATTTGGGCACAATCGGCCCAGCCGTTCTCGAGATCTGGAAGCGGCACCCTGCACGTGCGCACATGCAAAATGGGTCCCAACTGACTTGTGCACGGCACCCTACTAACCGGTCCCTAACTGTGTGCCAAATTTGAGCGCAATCGGTCGAGCCGTTCTCGAGATCTGGAAACGACCCCTGCACGTGCGCACGTGCAGCAGCGCCCCAACTCTGGCACATGTATATGCAGTGCCTAGTGGGTGCCTACCTACATGCCAACTTTCAGCGCAATCGGCCAAGTAGTTACCGAGATATTGCAACAATTACAAAAGTGACACCTCTTCGTTTTGCACGTGGCACGTGCATAAGGGGTCACCCACATGCATCGGGAATAGTCCAATACTTGGTAGAAGGAATGAAGCTACCCTACAAAAATTACCGCGTGTAAATCGGTCAAGTGGTTGCTGAGATATAAGCCTCGCAAAAGCGTGACCACGGCCGGCCGGCCGCTCATACTCAGAAATTTCCGTTAATCTAAGGAAAGACTACGCTCGCTTCGCTCGCTCCGTAAAAAGCTACTTATTTTCACAGGAACATTCCCGGAGATGAAGATCAGAATCATGCACTGATTTTTTCAAATAAGTGGTGAACTCTGACATTGCTGTGACCACACGTTTCACTGCTCACCTACGACCCACTGCTGATCTGTACCTGGGGAGCCTCAGCTCAGTCCTCGCTGCTACCTAGCCGTCCCACTGCGCCGTTCCGCTGAGTGGTACCGCTGAGACCGCAGCCGTTCCGCTGAGCCGCTCACCCACCGCTCAGAGGCGATGGGTAACTCTGACGAGACAGAGGTGTCGCCGCCGCTGGCCGAGTCCGAGGCGGCCGCGCAGGGCGCCTCGGCCAAGGAGGAGCCGCCTGCCTCGGCTGAGGTCACACTCAACATCGTCTACAAGAAGCAGAAGCTGCAGGTGCAGGCAGCGCTGGATGGTACCGTGGAGACGCTCAAAAAGCAGCTGCACCCGCTGATCGGTGAGTGGGAACAAGTGGGATGGCTCGTATTCCCATAAGGGCCTTTGTGGTCGGAGGTGGTTCCAAAAGATGTTGATCTCCTTTCCAAAGAAACGGCTAAGGATAGTCAATTGTTGGATTTCGAAGTGCTTCAGGTTTAATACCACTGACGGATATCGACTGAACTTAAGCCGACGATGGGGAGCAGGTGACTAAGAGGCGAAAAATGCTAATTGTGGTTACTAAGCACCAGCTCTCGGTATATAACAACGACCAATTCACCAAATCCTTTTACGAATAGTATACCTCGCTGCATAAAATACTCGCTGACCTGGATTAGGGCGCTCGGTAACCTCTAATGCTGAATTAGAATCCGAAATAAGACCGACTACTTGATTGAGAGCTGGGTTGGGCCATTCAGTGCCTAGTCACCATCTCAAAGCATCAGCATCTCAGGTGACGTATAAAGTTGTCCTTGGGCTACCGGGTGGAATTGGAGCCTTTTGACCCGACGTTACCAATATATTTGGATGTGTGTGAATACGAACGATGCAGTTTGAGTGTTGCTAAAACTCAAATATCATCGTCCTAAAGTCAATATTTGGTACGCAAGAAACCTGATGTTCTACAACCTTAAAAATAAATAAATTAGCCAATGTTGCACTCGCGTTGTCATAGAGTTATTTTGCGTCACGCATTGTATTTACGATCTATAAGCAGAACATGAGAAATACGTGCAGAGCCAAGGGGCAGAACGGACAGAACCAGGACATGACAGAAGCCGAGGCAACGCAGCTATCTTATAGGGATGTTATAAGCCCACACAGAACTATTTTGCTTACACAAATAACACTTCTATATATTAATTGGTTTAGTTTGTTGTATTTGCGGCCTGCCGCCATTGGCGGCTTTGGCCTTATACGGCCTTGCATTGGCCGTGAAACTCTTCCAGGTCTTTCTCCCTCCAGTTACCTATCTCCGCCGTCGTTGTGACCGTTTCCACGTGCTGTGTCTGTCAGAGGTGCCGCCCAGTATGCAGAAAGTGATGATCCGCGGTCTGGCTCGTGACGACAAGACTCTGCGCCAGCTGGGAGTGACCAGCGGAGCGAAGGTCATGGTGGTGGGTTCAACGCTCAACGACGTCCTCTCCGTGGCCAAACCGGATACTAAGGTGAGAGGGAGGGACGGGAGGACTGGGATAGAGTCGCGGAGAGGGGTGATGGGAGGGATGGTGAAAAAGGGGGAATGACGGAATAGAGTGGCGGAGAGAGGAGGGATGGCGATGAAAGAGCGTGGAAGGAGGTTTGCGGTGATGGTGGTTGATGAATGGAAGGGGGGGGGGGAGCAGCATCCCAAATTGGTATTTTGGCTTGGGTGTCAAAGGCGAAATTATTCTCCAAAAAGGGGGATGAGAGTGGCATACATTTCGATACAGGTGTGACAAAAAGTAGGTTGCAAAACAATCATCCACACAAATGCCTTTCTCAGTAAAATTGGGAGTGGGTTATTGCTCTTAACATATTGGAGGTGAGAGCGCAGAATGGTTATTTGGACGTCGTTTCTCGCCCAAACCAGCAATTTCGTAACACGGGGGGGGGGGGCTATGAGTGTTGGAGGAGTGTCTGTGCCATATTCCTTTACCAGCAACGCATAAAATACAGACTGATGTTACGGCACAATGTGCGACAGTACTGACACTAATGAGCTGATAATTAGTGGCATTGGAACAGTTTTTAGGTGTTTTATTGCTTTGAATGGACTGTGCACTGTGCAGCCCAGGATTGCAGTCGTTTGACGGATAAGTGGTCTCGCACTTATTTCAGCAACCCTTTGTGACAAGCGAGTTTATGCTTCAGCGATTTGCCCATGGACTGGATTCGTTACTGGGCTCAGTTTTTTTTTCAGAACCTTTTCCAGACGCCTTTCCAAGCTATCGACCAATGCATAATTACTGCGTACTGAAACACCTAACCAGATACTCAAGCGCAATGGGCATTTACTCGACTGACAAATCACTTATGATAGCCGGTCTTCGGTTGGAAAGGCAATGAAAACATGGGTCAATCGCTGTATCAACGCCAACAACCAGAAATGGCGCCAGTTAAACACGTTTTACGATGTTTCAGCTGCGCAGAGCTATTCTGCTACTGGCGCACTGAGACTAATGCTTTATTGCTATACGATTGGCAGCTCTTTGGTTTCGTTATTTGTGTAGGGTTTGTGTCGTGAAGTCATTTTGTGTCCATGTTGCTTCCCCTTTGCTGCACTGTGTCCAAACCGTGGAACAGACTTCGAACTAACTGGCTACTTTGATTGCCGAAACGGTCACCGTTCTCTGGCATTGATGCGTAATTCTCTCTTTTTTTTCTTTAAACACCCCGGGCCGAATCGTTGTAGTCTGTGATGAGTTGAATCCCGTATGCATGTGATATTTATCTGAAATAGCAGTTCGACCTGCTATCCTCTCTCGTTGATTACACTGCGTCTACTGTGTTGTACCCAAGTATTCCCTCTCACTCTGTTTCTTTTCCCTTTTCAGGCGGCGAAAGACGAAGCCAAGACGGAAGAGGCGGAAAAGGAAAAACTCTGTGATATGAAACAGCACAAAAAGATCATCGACAAAGGCAAACCGGACGATGTGATGCCCGGCAAGAAAAACGTCAACGTAAGTATTTTTCGATGTCATATTTGGTGCTTCTCCATTAGTGCAACCCTCAGCATTTTCTGCGTCAGTGCCCCAGTGCTCAGTAGCAATTAGTAGCAAGGGTTCCGGTTAGCAAGGGTTGAATTGGCTGCCGCTATAACCTAACCAAGGATGGACAAGAAAAACATCATCTTGGAATTGTATATCGATGCTTGTAATTCTTGATGCTTCTATGATGCCTCATCGCTAATGCAAGCGACTCAGCATCATATCTTGAATGCTTTTTATCAATAGCCCTGGCACCATCAATCCGTCAATGTCCCATCCACATGCTCAGACTAACTGCTCCATTTATGGTCGCTGTGCCTTCAGCTCATGTGTATCACAGGGTTTGCGTCAATACACGCGTGGGCTGCCTATTGACAGAGTAATGAGGCACCCGGGGCCGTCGGCTTAGCAACTATAAATGTATTTCTGGACTGACAACCTAGTGGGGCTTACATTGGCGGCTAATGTGTTGGGGAGGAGAGGGGGGGGGGGCTTAACTGATCTTCGGTTAACTGATCGGTTTTGGTCGGTGCTGCTGAGTCTCTTCTAATCGGGTTTTTGTTACCGTTACCTACATAAAGTTTGCCTTATTGCCCTAGCAACTGTATGAACTGACCGTAGACTGAACTGTAGACCGTAGGGACAGCCTGTAACTGTAGACTGTAGATATTGAGATATGTGGCTGCATAGACCTCTACATACGGCGTATGTAGAGGTCTATGGTGGCTGATATACCTATCTATACGGAAAGGAAAGAAGCTGCCTATTTGGTAGTCATTGACCGCTTAATCACTGGGAATCTGGGAATCACTGACTCTCTCTCTCTCTCTCTCTCTCTCTCTCTCTCTCTCTCTCTCTCTCTCTCTCTCTCTCTCTCTGTCTCTGTCTCTCTCTCTGTCTCTGTCTCTGTCTCTGTCTGTCTCTGTCTCGTCTCTGTCTCGTCTCGTCTCGTCTCGTCTCGTCTCTCCTCTCTCTCTCTTCTCTCTCTCTCTCTCTCTCTCTCTCTCTCACCACCCCTCTACCCCCAGGAGCCTCTGCCGCCGACCCCCCTGTCGGGTATGCTGAACCGTACCGGCGGCAAGGTCCGACTCACGTTCAAACTGGAGTGTGACCAGCTGTGGATTGGTACCAAAGAGAGAACTGAGAAGGTATCGATGTCCAGTGTGAAGGCGGTGGTTTCGGAACCCATCACTGGACATGAGGAGTATCACATCATGGTAAGGAGGAGGATGGGGGGAGGGTTGAGAGGGATGGGGATGGGAGTTGGAGGGCTGGTGGAACACTTGATGAAACATGGGGATGGGGGACATATGATGGGTTGTGAGATATGAGGGTTTGATGGGACATTGTAATAGGTGGGTTATTACGCATGATACATGGGAGTTAGATGGTGGGACATTTAATGGCTTGTGGCGCATCGGATGGTAACATGAAGTTGCTGGCGGGACATGGGTATGGCTGGTCAACAACATCGAGTGACAAATTGGGAGGCGCCAGGCGAGAGCCATAGAAATATTATTAGATGAAAAGCTAGGGATCCATTAGGATGGCGGATAGAAATATGTGCGCAATATAGGTCTGAGAAAGGTAGAAATGTGATCTGCCGAAAGGTAAAGCCGATTAGCTATAACATCGCCACATATTCTGTCAAAGGATTGGCCCTGTTATAGGCCCACGTAATGGACATATGGCACGGCACGTCCATCAGCATGCGTCCTGAGATGGCTCTGTGCATTAGCAAGGCTGTCACTGGGTTGGTAACCTGTACCGTGATACTGGACTCGCAGCTGTATCCAAGTCCGAAGCGTGTCTCCAACGCGGCTTCACAGCCCCGCATCTATGGGGCTTGAGACTCTGGTCTCTATGGTAGTTATAAACTGTTGTCAACGCATGTTTTACATTGACTTTGGCCATAAATGAATGTCATGTTACCAAGGATACCCGTGAATGTTAAGTGAATATTTAACCTAAACTGAACAATAACCGGGGCCGCCGGAACGTCAAAAACAAACGTTTTACAATCATCTTCTTTGCAGGTAACAATTAAACACGAAGGGTGACGTATCTCTAGCATGTGACCGTGTGGCTTCCCGCCACTGGTGAGAGGATAATAAAGTCCTGGGTGGTGTTTCACCGATGATAGCAACATGCTGCTATCACACGTGTCCAATGGGGTTTCCATGGAGATATAAACAAACTCCTATCTCCAACACTGCCCCCAAAGTGTGACGTCAGCTCGTGGTAACGTGCCCAGAGCGGATAGCAGCGTGCTGCTATCGGCCGTGAAACACCGCGCTGCTTTTCCAGGTCCTGCTTAGCCTCTAACTAGAACGCGGCGTCTGGCCTCAGACCGTCAGACGTCAGACCAGACCTGAAACTCTAACTGCATAGCCTTACCGTTTTCCCAGCCTAGTCTTTTTCCCTTTCCCCGTGTTGTTTTCTCCTCTCAGCCTGGCGTTTGTCCCCTCCTAGCCGAGAGCTATTTCCCAGCCCGCTGACCCGACCTCCCTTCTCCCCTCCCACAGGGCGTTCAGCTGGGACCCACGGACGCCTCCCGCTACTGGCTCTACTGGGTGCCGGCGCAATACGTGGCAGCCATCAAAGATACCGTGCTCGGGAAATGGCAGTACTTCTGACGTGCCTGCGGCCAGCGCCGCCACTACTGCCTCACCCGGCCGGCCAGAGATGGCGCCACCGGCGCGCCGCCCGGCCAGCCGCCGTTTTTATACGTGACCGGGCCGCTCAGACTTAGAGCGTAGCCCGGGGATAGCGGACGAGTCTTTCGCCGTTGGACGTAGGGAAGACGTGTCAACGGCTAAGTGGATGTATTGGGACACGCTAGGATGGTGGGGGACGCAATGGGACGTGCTGGAACGTGATGGAACGTGTTGGGACGTGTTGAAACACGTTGGAACTTTACGGGGTGTTCCTGACGTATTTGCGGTGGATTGGCCGCGCTGGCTATTGTGTTCCTGTGTGGTCACCCCACCAGGCAGACTGTCTCAGAGGGCAGACAGTGTCTGGGAGCGCAGACAGTGTCTGGGAGCGCAGACAGGCTGTCTGCGTCTGTGTCTGGCTGGGCTGTGGAACAGAGCAGTGTGTGCAGTGAGTGTGGTTTGCAAAGTGTCTCTACTCGCCGTGCAAACGGACTGCCACTTGCACTGGAGGAGCTGGGGGAACTTGAAGGACCCGGAGGAACCCGGAGAACTGGATGAACTTAAGGCACTGCAGGACCTGGTGACCTGAAGCCCTGCAGGAACCGGGGGCGCTGGAGGAACCTGAGGCCCTGCGATGTAGCCTGAAGCTCTGGAGGACCTGGTGCGCTGATGCCTTGAAGGATCTTTGGTAGCCTGAAGCCGTGAAAAACCTGGCGGCCTGAAAGGCAGAGGAAGCTGAAAGAAGTGAAGCCCCGCAGATCTTGAGACCTGATGCCCTGAAGGGTCTGATGACCTGAAGAGTTGAAAGAACCTGAAGCCCAACAGGACCTGACGACCTGAATTCAAGAAGGGTCTGTATTTGTGGCCCGAAACACTGAAGGACCTGTTGTGGTCTGAAACCCTGAAAAGGCTGAATGAAGCTGAAGTCCTGGAGGACCTGTGAGGAAGCCTGAAGAACCTGCGCTGACAGACTTTGTCAGGGGCCTGGCTGCAGTCGGTCCACCTCCATCCGCGGCTATTCAGTGAACGTCACCACCCGGCACCCATGTGTGTGTCACAGCCACAGAGACTGCCACTCCCCTCCCACCAGGCGACACTGCGTGTCCCCACCTGTTGAACGACAACCATGCAAACTGTATACAATCTGAACTCTGCGTGTAAATGACCCTGTGTATACTGAGCCTATTTCACGGCTACCTTGTGCTGTGGTATGGTCTGTTGGCAATGATGTGCCCAACTTTTTCACAGCCTGAAACTAGGCAGTGGGGCATATGTGGGAGGTTTCTTACAGCTGTGACTACAACAGCTCTGGGAGTTACTGAGGTTTTCTCAGCCCGTGCATACCGTGCGTGACCCTCCTTCTCCCCCTCACATTACGCTGTACTGGAATGAAAGCAGCGGCGAATACAATGCGAGCCGTGATTCGATACTTCGGTACCGGGTGTCGATGGTACTGGAAGTGAACACTGGAACATGGGCGATGGGGAGCGGCGACTGCTCGGCCAAAGTTACTGGGGCCGGGATCACACCAAATATAGGGGTAGCTTGGATGTAGCTACTCAGGATTTAGCAATGTTCGACTCGCGGGGCCAGTTACGATTTTCGCTACTACTTTTGCTGCCCAAATTTATCCGAGCTATTCTAGTTCAGCTCTAGTGACCATTGATTACATTTTGGCGACACATCGATACGTTCAATTCTGCTCAAGCAGCATGTATTCAATTCTTAACCAGTCTTTAACGTTAGCATTCCAAATAGCCATTACCAGGCAGCGTGCATTACGAGAAAGGCTTAGCCACTTGTGACGCTGCTTATTCGTATATCGTAATCCGCATACCACTACAAGCTATTTCCCTTACCGGCCAAAAAAGGTCCTCCAAAATAAAGGTTTATTCGTTCGCACACTCGATCAGGGCCAGACAGTTTGGGGTCAGGTAGTCACAACTGCCGCACGTCAGAACAAAACCTTCCATGTCATCGTCAAACCGATTTCGGACATCGGCCAACGTAGTACGATACCATCTTAGCTTGGGAAGTCGCCCGAAAATCCAAAACTACCTGGTTAAAAAAAAAAGACATGCAGAAGACTGCACAGTGCCAGGCTTCGCTGTGAATCGGCGAGGAAGATCCTTGATGTAATCCTACGCGACTTGAGCTGCAGTTGGGCCAGACAAATCAGCCTTCGCATCGCACCCTGCTACCAGGCTCGATAAGATGTTTTTGTGTCACCACTGACCATTGCAGTACATACACAAATCACCGATCGAAATCCCATTTCGACAGCACGGGGCATGACTGATTCCTGCCACTCGAGGCCGGTTTTGTTCATAATTCCAGCCGAGTCAATGCGTCCCTCATAATTCGCACCCCACAGCCAGTCTCTAGTCCCTGCTCGAAACACATCACCAAACTTCAGTCCAGCTCGACAATTTCACAGTCATCATCGTCATCCGGCGGCGGCGGGCGGACCGGTGCGCGGGCGGCGGCTCGGGCGGGGGCGGGGGCGGCGGGCGGTCCGTCTCGCAGTAGCCGCAGGGTCAGCGCCGCCAGGAACCCAGGCATAGAGTCCTGACGGTACAGGTACTGCTCGACCAGGTCGGAGAGCCGAGCCGAGAAACCGTTCTCCAAGAGCTGAATCGTGTCCCCGGCACCGCGCTGGAGAGAGAGGGGAGAGGGAGGGAGGAGGCGGTCAGTGGTGCCAACGTGAACATTCATAGCGTGTTTCACATAGAGGGTGATCGTGATTGTGAAATTGAAGACACTCGCAATGCTACCAGTCGGCGCTACTATATAATGTTGCAAAAAGACGTCATTTCAGTATCATGCGGGATGATGACGATAAACCAGCCAATTAGGACATCATTATCTTTCTACCTAAAGCCGAGCTAAAAATGGCAATTTTTGAACAGCAAAGTGGGCGAAAGAAGCACATTGTGCTGACTGATCGGGCTGAGGACAGGCCAATCTGCTTCTAATAATGTCACTAATGGACGCACTCCCTCCTCACCCCGCCCCACTCCAGACCTTCCTCAGTTCCCAGCAACCTTTCCTTCGTAGCCCCCTACCAACTACTCATACGGATATTTCTTCCACCACTCACCTCACCAACCACACGAATACTAATCCCCTAACAAAACCACACGAATACCTCATTCCTCACCCTGGTCTACAAAAATACGCGTACCTCTCTTTCTTCTTCCCACAAGCACCCCTCGTCTCTCTCTCTCTCTCTCTCTCTCTCTCTCTCTCTCTCTCTCTCTCTCTCTCTCTCTCTCTCTCTCTCTCTCTCTCTCTATCTCTCTCTCTCTCTCTCTCTCTCCCTCTCTCTTTCTCTCTCTCTCCCCCTCACCTGAAAGAGCAGGGTCTGATCCTGTTGCGGCGCGTAGACGCTCCTCAATCTTAGCTGTGTATCGTCGGCATTAATTTTGTATCCAGTCAACTGACAGACAGACTGACGGTACTCCTGGGTGCTACGACCGAATACCTCCTTTAGACGGCGAGTGCGCAACTCGGCGGCACGCAACTGGCTGCGCAGACCTGTCGCGGGGGGGGGGGGGAGGTTAATGGTGTCATAGACGGGGTGACTCCATGGGTTGGTTTAATAAACTTGGTTATGATGATGATGATGATGATGATGATGGGCGAAGTCCATGAACAAAAACACTACAGGACACACGAGAGCAGCGGCTTGGGCTATTTTAGTGTCATGAGATGGCAGGGATAAGGGAGATAATATATCGTACTGATGTGACCATCGATTGGTGGGTCAGAGCGTCTGAGTCCGTCCCGTGACTCCATTTATCGTGATAACAGTCACTGAAGCCACATTTTCAAACTGAGCGGGTTATTAAGTTCATTTTCTGGATTGCTTCGTATCAGCAGGCACTGAGACTGGAGTGATGTGTCTACAAATAAACCAGGCGATGGTCTCAGAACGAACCTTTCCGCAACATGGAAGTACATTTTCGAACGAAACGCAATCCAACACCCGGCCAATTCGAAGGGCCTGGCCAGCTGCAACGTGTTACGTGCCCCGCGGTGGTCGTGCCGACCCAGTCCGGGTCAAAGTGTGCTGGGCTGACCCCCGAGTGTGTACATTTACAGTGTTTATCGCCAGCAAAATACACCCGGGTGGAGACATCCATTTCGCGTCTAGCTGGACGCGTCTTAACGCGCCAGGCGGACGGCGGCTGCGTCCACCTGGGTGACAGCTAACTTTAGACGCGTCTAGCTTGGAAGTCTCCGCCCAACAGTAAGACGCCAAGTTAAACGCCAACTTGGACGTCTGCTCAGTTAGACGCCAGTTGGACGCCAGTGGAAGTCTCCACCCCCTGTGTTGTTCCCGCCCCGCCCCTCACCGCTGATTTGTTTGGCGATATGCTGTGACTGCAATATGTCCCCGCGCCGCCCCTCACCGCTGATCTGTTTGGCGGCGTCCTGACTCAGTCCGGAGCCCGCGCCGTCCCTCACCGCTGATCTGTTTGGCGATGTGCTGTGACTGTAATATGCCCCCGCCCCGCCCCTCACCGCTGATTTGTTTGGCGATGTGCTGTAACTGCAATATGTCCCCGCGCCGCCCCTCACCGCTGATTTGTTTGGCGGCGTCCTGGCTCAGTCCGGAGCCCGCTCTGTCCCCCAGCACCTCCAGTCGTCCGCGCAGCTCGGCGTTCTCCTGCTGCAACCGCTCCAGCTGACCGGCGCGCCTGGAGCCGGCCGCCGCCGCCGGGTTGTCCCTACAGGGGGTCAGAGGTCAGAGGGTCAGAGGGAGACGCAGGTCAGGGGTCAGAGGGTCAGAGGGAGACGGAGGTCAGGGGTCTGGGGGTAAGACAGGCACCGGAGGTCAGGTTATCCCTTCAGAGGCCATGGGGAAAATGAACGGGGGCACAGGGTTTAGTGCAGGGGTTATCATTCCAGGAAACAGGAGACATAGGTCAGAGGGACCCAGGAGCCACCTCTGCCGGCACAAAGACGGCCGCACATATTCGACAGCGGCATTACAATCTACATGGACCATAATCTGGGCTTCCGCTGTTCAGCAATTATCGGATTTCTCTGCCATTAAATGATCGTATGGTATCGCGAGTAATGATCGGTGCTACGGACAAATTGCACAAAGCTTTAAACATCTTCCAATAATAGAAGATGATACACCATGTCATATGAACAGTATAATCTCAAAAGCGGCATCATCACAGCCCTCCGCCTCTCAATAGCTCACATCACTCCCTCCCCTGTCCCTTTGTACTTTGAGTGCGAAACTCGGCACACAACCAGGTGGCTGGGTTGTAGTCCCTCCCCGTACCAAAGACTAAGCATGTGACTTATTGCTGGGTTATAGTCCCCCTCCCCTCCCATAGTCCCCCTCCCCTCCTATGATAGTCCCCCTCCCTTTTTACCTAAGAGTAAGCACGCGACTATTCTCCGTGTTGTAGTCTTACCTGAGAGTCAGCACATGAGTAGTGGCCAGGCTTTAGTCCCTATCCTTCCCAGTAGTCCCATTTCCTCCTTACCTGAGAGCACACGGCTAGTCGCCGGATTCTTTATAGTCCTTACCTGAGTGTCAGCACGCGACTAGTCGCCGGGTTATTTATAGTCCTTACCTGAGGGCTAACACGACTAGTCGCCGGGTTATTTATAGTCCTTACCTCAGAGTCAGCACGCGACTAGTAGCCGGATTATAGTCCTTACCTGAGGGCTAACACGACTAGTCGCCGGGTTATTTATAGTCCTTACCTCAGAGTCAGCACGCGACTAGTAGCCGGATTATAGTCCTTACCTGAGGGCTAACACGACTAGTCGCCGGGTTATTTATAGTCCTTACCTCAGAGTCAGCACGCGACTAGTGGCCGGATTGTAGTCCCCTCTCAGCGCGCGCTCCTCCAGCTGCGCCTCGAGGCCCTCCTTTTCCAGCTGCACCTGTTGCAGCTGTTTGCGCAGCTGCTCGTGCTCGGTGCGCAGAGTGGACAGCTCGGCACGGGCCTCCGAGTCGGCCGAGCCAAACACCAGCTGAGGACGAGGGGGGGGGGGGGGTGAGCTCTCAGTACTGGAAGGCAAGGTAGGGACAGGTCACAGATGGGGAATAGAAGGAGGGTGCGAACGACAGAATGTGAATGATAAGAGAGTGAAAAAGAAGGGAGGGAGTTAGGAGATCGATGAGAGAAGAGAATTGGAAAATAAAAAGGATAATGGAAATGGCAGCGTAGAGACAAAACAGCAGAGCTCACTGCGACAGCCGAATGATATCAACAACGCTTGAGTGCCAGCAAGCCATTAGCCTTTAATCTCTATCGAATATTTTTCGTGCCTCTCCCAAAGTCTCTTGCCTAACTATTTCACCCTCAGCTTCTCCACTTCCTTTTCTATTAACCACACCACGTCATATTCCTCCTCACTGGAGGCGTTTCTCTATCCCCTGCATCTTTCTTCTGCCATTCTCCGTACCTTTCCATAACCCGCGCCCCACTGGGGGGGGGGGGGGGGGCTGGCAGGTGGCGCCCTCCCCTCATTCTAGCAATACTTCCGAGAGACTATCCCCGCGTTCGATGTCTCTCGTAATTCTTCCCTCCCGTTTTTCTGCAATAGCTTATAAACCGCTAGACGTATCGACGCCAAACTTTCAGTACTTTCAGTACCTTCGGCTGTATCAATTTGACACCTTGTGTCAAAATATGAACTTCGTAGCTACCATAGGTCGGCCGGAAACGACGTCAGAGTGAAGGCATGTTCGGCCGATTTCGACGCAAAACATTGAACCACGGCAATCGCTCCCAAGAGCTCAGTTTCTAAGCTAGATCCAATTTATTTGCATGAGAGGACTCAGAATAGATTGCGCTATCAAACTGCTATCTCGGATTTTCAAGATTTTGAAACTTTTGAAAAATATTAAAATTAAAAATTTATATTCTTATATTTTTCATTTTTTTTTTACTTTTCGAAAAACCGGAATATATGTGATAGATCACATGCTTATGACTTACTCTAGCAAGTTTTAGCCAGATATCTTAAAAAATGGCCAAGTTATACGCCTTATAGCAAAAATTTCACGATTATATTTTTCAAATCAATTTTTCAGTACGTACTTGACATCGTACACCAATATAAGTAGCACCATCGTATTCCTGAGCTCAAACTGCATCCGATAGACACTTTCTAAAATTTGACCTTTTTTACCTGAAAGTGGCCTGACCTGAGCTAAATTCAACTCAAAATGACCTCGAATGACATAAACGACATCGAATTCGAAATCAATGGCCTAAATGGACCATAAAACATGTGTCACGTGACCGATGCATGGCATAAGATTTCCGTGACCTGTGATGACCTGGCCCTGACCTGAAAATCAAAGTACAAGTTTGTTACCCTCAGGGTATCTAAAGCATTTGTTCACGAGTGTGGAAACCAAAAATGAGCCTGATCTGACTCGTAAGACGGCGGCCAGAGCCCAAAATGTGAACAAGTCAATTATCGATAATTTTTACTTTGACCTGATCTGTGACGTCATCGGTGACCTCGAGTTCAATGAAATTAGGTTCGACGGTTTTTCCGGGGCTATCAGACGCCGTTCGAATTTTGACGATCGGCCCAGTAGTTTCGGAGTTAGGAGGGGGGGGGCTATGAATAGCCCCCCCCCCCTCCCCAGTAGGGCGCGTTATACGCAGACCCCAGTGGAGCGCGGGTTAAGGCGTCCCCCTCCCCATACCTTTCCGCTGGAGGCCGCCTCCCGTTCCCGGCCGTACCTTTCCGCTGGAGGCCGCCTCCTGCAGCTGCCTCTCCAGCGATTCCACCTGCTGTCGGTACGTCGAGATCAGCCTCTCCTGGTCCTCCCCACGCTGACGCTCTATGGACGTCAGCGACTCGGTCGTCTCGGACTCGTAGGCGTCCAGCACCCGTTTGCAGCTGTCACGCTCCTGAGGGCGAGAGGGGATGGAGTGGTTTAGTGATGTCAATTATAGAAAATTGGAATACCAATACCAAACCAAATACCAACAGAACCCGTGGGGAAATATCGAAATTCGAAACAAAACCAATTCGGGAAAATGAGGGAAATACCAACTTTTTACCGATTTATTAGCCTTTTATTAGCCTCTTATACATTAGTGAGGGTTCATGATACCAACAAAATACCATACACATTAAGATTGAAATACCAAATACCAATTTTGTATCAGTTTGGTATCTGTATACCGAAAAGTTGGTATCCGATTGACATGCCTAGAATGGTCCATAACAATGCGGGAGATAGTACACTTGAATTCCCATCGTATAACATGCTTATACTCATAGCCAAACGACAAACAATGACGTATGTATGACTACCTAGCGGATAGTGACCCGGATCTATCCACTGAATTGGATACATCCGGGTGTCCAAACAGATATGTCGGAGGGTTAGGCGACATAAGAGCGTAGGTACATTAGATGACGCATGTCCGGTTACCCAATGGGAAGGGGTATTGTGACAGGCATGTGAGGAGGTTATGCGAGGGGAGCGGATGACGTTTACGGTTATCCAAATGGAAATTCAAGTCACAGCATACCTCCTAGTACCCGCGTACATCTGTTGCAACCAAGCTCAGAAGGCGATTAAGAAGACACGTGACACAGGATGGATAAGGAGGTAGCAAATCATCGATGACGCACACTCGTCCGTAGAACTATAAATGCAGCTCGGCAAGAGAAGCCATCAGCGTTGTTATCTCCGTATATTCTGGACCACTAACGACACGCTTTGCGTAGCAAAAGCCGATATTTAGTACGACGGCAATTTGTGGGCATGTGTGGCGAAAGAAACGTTTCCATGGCAACAATATAGATCTGTTTGAGGCCTTTCGGAAACTGATAGAACGAATTGAAACACGACTCGGCAGCAAGGCCCTATATAGAAGGTATGCTCATTAGGCCGAAGCAGCGATTTCCGTGACGTCACTGGTACGAAGGGTCGGACGGCTGTAATGCAATCCTATGGAAAATGACCCAACTTTAGGGCTCTCCCACATAGCTGCCAACCTCGACACTAAGGTAAAAGTCATATCACATAAAAGCTCAAATCAAGACGAACAAGAAACCTATCTGACGTTTTTACGTATTACTAACGGCTTAGACTCTATTCAAGTATATTCAGAGCTCTGCATTACCTCACTTTGTCTGCCGTCAATGCCACTACAAATGTCTAGTCGGCGCACGTGCGCTTGTCGAGAGGGGACCACCAGTCGGGCGATTCAGAGCTGCCGCCCAATCAGAACGCCGCAATGCCGTGACGTCATTGGTCGCACACGACACGTTACGGAGATAGGGATGAGACAGCCCTGACTCGGCAGTTGGCCATTGACCAATACGTACGGATCAGCAGTGTTGCTGACAGACTATGAGTGGTCAGTGAGTTACCATTAGCCAAAATCAACGACCAAACGTCTGCGATACATGATCTCAAACGCCCACGACGGGACCACGCACATTGGTTTCATGGGAGGAGCATTTTCCGGAAACACTGGTGGCAAGCGGCAAATTACAGCAAGCTATTACTGGATAATCATGGCATCTAACATAGAGCAATCAAAGTTCATAGTACCCATTAAAATATACATAGCAAATAAAAATATTGTGTACTAATAACTGTTGGTGGGATGTAATATAAATAGCAATAAAAATGTCATGACAATTTATTGGTCATTTATTGGTCTTCAACAGTCAACTATTCGTAATAATTAAGCGGGCAGCAGCGGGCTCCAGTATCGCAAAATGGTCGTAAAATGGGTGCTCTCTATACACACATACCCTGCCGTCACTACCATGCGTGCCCCTATGCCCGCTGACACCATGGCTTCGTTTCATAAAGCGAGTCCGTAACTTACGCCGTTTTTTGGTCTTGTATTGCAAGTGCATGTGAAGCGATAAATTTATTTCCCCTTCTTCCTTCTGTTCTTGCTTGCAAGATAAATGAATTCGACAATTCAAACTATCAACATCGCTTCACATGCAATTACAATACAAAACCAAAAACCGGAGTAAGTCACGGACTCGCTTTATGAAACGAGGCCCAGACGTAGCCTAACATCGCTGCAGCACTCACCATGGTGACCAGTGTGAGTTTGCGCTGCAGTTTCCGCAGCTGCACCTGCCCCTCCAGTTTGGTCTGGTCGTGCTCCGCCTGCGCCTCCTTCAGTTTGTCGAGCTCGGTCTGTAGCGTCTGACAGCGCGACTCGGCCGCAGAGAGTCTGTAGGCCGTAGGGGGCGGTAGACACAGTTACTGGAGGGAAGGGGTCGCATGGGGAGCGGGAGAGTTACCTGTTATAACATAAAGAACATAGGGGAGAGTGGGGTAATTTGGCCGGTGGTGTAAATTGGCCGCTCCCACCTGTACGAAAGCTGATAAAAGTGAAAGAAATAACTTTAGTCTCTATTCATTTGTCATCGGCAGAACTAACTCGAGAACAAATGTCAAAACTTTCCCCCTCTTAGTTTTATTCAAAATTAATAAAAGGTGAATTTAGTTAGAAAATGGTAACTTTTACTTCCGTTTAAAAAATTTGTATAACATGTAGTATTTGGGCTGTAAACGAATTCCAACATTATAGCGCCATTTTTGAGGGTGTTCAGCGGTTCCAAGAGCAATTTCATTTAGTTCTGCACAGCCATGACGACTTTATAGACAAAACATTTTCAGAATGGCAATGTGGGGTTATTTGGCCGGGACTAGCGGGGCAACTTGGCCGGTGCGCTCAGAGTCACTATGCTGGGACGGCCGAGTTGTCATGGTCAATTATACCATAAAGGACATATTTCATAACCAACTTTGACTACCTTGATGCCATATTTCCTATTGGACAGTTGTAAGAGCATGTGACGTCATCAAAGGTTATTTAACGCTTTTTTGCTAATAAATACTTACAGAAAAAAGATACAGCCGCAAAAATGGTCTCATTGTGTTCAGCTCGTCAAGGCGCATCGAATGATATACATGATGACCTTGAACTCACGTAACCTTGAGGTCAAGCGACCTGAGGTAACCTGACCTGAAGCCAACCTTTGACCTTGACCTCTCGAGGTCAACACATACATGTTTCGATGCGGAATGACGAGAGAATTACGATGGTACTTTTAGTTTTGGCCTAGCTTGATTACTTCAAAAGCTATTCGTAAAAAAAACTGTCATCGCATCTAGAGCCGCTATTTTGACTATTTTCGACCCCTGTGACGGCTGGGTCAACCTCCAAAATGCTTCAAATGCGTCGTAGGACACGCGTCATTGCTGAATGTGAAGCTGGCTTGCCTATAACAAAAATTATGGCCTCAAGCTAACACCGGCCAAATTACCCCACACCCCCGGCCAAATAACCCTGCTAGTGGGGCAATTTGGCCGCTTTGCAGACCTTTGTAATACATCACAATGTCAATATAAGTAGTTACTCTATCATTTCAAGTTTACTGTCCAAGAAAGTAAAATGTATGCCACACCTGTCAGCGTTGAGAAAATGCAGAAATGTGTTGTCGATTTTTAGTTACATCGTTTTCTAAAAAAAGCGGCCAAATTACCCCACTCTCCCCTACATGATATACCATGTAGAATTACCTGGGACGAGGATCTACACCTAAAGAGAGACAAGACGCTGGAGACATGATAAGCTGAGACAAACGGACGGTTCAACGGACAAGCGAAGGGCTCATCTTGAGCAGTTTAACCGCAAGGTTTTACTACCTCAGCAAAACAAAAAATTGTTTTTTCACTTCTCTCGCCATGCCCTACCGCTAGGTTTTACTGTCTCAGCGAAACAAAAATTGTTTTTCCACTTCTCTTGCTATGCCTTATTCAGTAACAACCAGTGTCTAATCCTTACTTTCAACCTCTAATGACTCAGGCCACACTCATTGTCTAATCCTCAGTTGACCCCATGACGTCCTAATCACCATTCCCTGTTCCCTTCACTAATCACTCCCTCCCAGTATCACACGCCGCCCCCCTCTCTCTCTCTCTCTCTCTCTCTCTCTCTCTCTCTCTCTCTCTCTCTCTCTCTCTCTCTCTCCCTCCCTCCCCCCACTCACTCTGCGCGCGCCGTGCCGCCGCTCTCCTTCAGCAGAAGCTGCTGCTTCCTCAGGTCAGCCAGCAGACGACTGAGGTCATCAGGACAGGCCACACCGTCCCCGGCCGCCTCACGCCACGTGGCGAGCTGCAGGCGCCACTCCGAACACTGAGGGCAGGTCAGATCAGGTCAGGTTAGGTCAGGTCAGTGAGCTACGAGCACTGCGCATAGGTCAGGCCTGGTGAGGTCACTCCGGCCACCTCTCGCCAGGTGGCCAGCTGAAGGCGCCACTCCGAACACTGGGGATAGAAGGGGAGGTCAGGTCAGGTCGGTTCAGGTCAGGTCAGAAGTCATGGAGGTCAGAAATTAGGTCAGTCGCCACACAAAGCACCGAGGTCAGGTCAAGCAAGGTAGGACTAGGGTCAGAATAGCTAATAACTAAGTCATTTTTAAACATTTCTTCACGAATATAAAATGTGAAGTGCATCTTTCGCCTGGCTGTCTCCCTCCCTCCCTCCCTCCCTCCCTCTCTCTCTCTCTCTCTCTCTCTCCCCCTCTCCCTCCCCCTCTCTCTCTCTCCACCCCCTTACCTCTGTCCTGGCCGTCTCCAGCTCTGTCTGCAGCTGATCAAACCTATCGGCCTTTTTCTGCAGCACGGCCGCCCGCTCCTCCAACACCAGCGTCTTATCCACCACGTTTCTGAGCGAACGGAGCTCTGCCTCCATAGCCGCGTGCTGTTTCTCGAGCTCAGGATAGCGTGCTAATCGCTCCCGCATCAGTGAGCCCAGCTGCAGGCTCTCCTCCGACGAGGCCAACTGGTTCTCCAGTTCCTGCGGGCGTCAGAAGGAATATGATGGTGGTGGTATTTGGGGTTTTAGGGCAATCCGATTGTAGCTAATCGGCACCTCCATAACGAGAAACACTAGAGGCATCATAACAGATTTAAAGCCGCTTGAGCATAAAAATGACAAGGGACAAGTGCTACTAACGCCCTAAAACCACAGTGGTATAGATGGTAGTAAACACGATATACCGATAAACCCAAGCATATTTGAAAACACGAACTATATATGAAGCATCAGTATTCGGTATATGGTAAACGACGGCTAGCAATTCTGACAATGAATGACTTCTGCACCTACATATGACCATCTTAGTCCTGAATTATTCAACGCGATATTTTGCGATCCTGTCCTCACCTTGACCCTCATCTGTTCGTCCCGGAGGGCGGCCCTCAGCTGCTCCCTCTCCAGCCCTCCGTCCGAGGCGGCCCTCTGATCTGCCGCGGCCGCCTGGGCCCTCTCCTGTTCGAGCAGAAGCAGCGCCCCCTGCCGCGCCGTGTCAGCCTCCGCGAGCTGGGAGAGCGCCTCAGACAGCTGGCGGCGGGTCTCTGAGAGATCCTGCGGGCGGGGGGAGGGTCAGATCCTGGGAGCAAAGAAGGATGAGGTCAGAACAGTGCTGGAAATGAGGCCGCTTTCTGGTCCCGGCGTTTTATTCTCCGGGCGAGTTAATCCCGTCCAGCGTTTAGCCTTTCGGGACCCACTCAGGGTCGCAGTTGTTTTCGCCGATCGCCCCAGTCGAGATGCAAAGTTAATAGTCACACAAAGCTTATTTAGGGCCAGCCAAACCAGCCTAGTCTGAAATTAGGGTCAAATGTATGCATATAGATGAAAGAGAAAGGTTTTGTAAAATCGACTAATTTCGAAGTCGTATATGCAGAGGCCCCAAATAAACTTTGTGTGAATATCTTATTGTTTATTGTTTATTGTCACATTAGCAAACCAGATCCGCATAAAATGGGCTATTCCCTGGTCGTTGTCAGTAAACACTTCATAACGAACAACACACAACACTGTTAAAATCAAATACTGCGACACCTGATAAAACAGCTAAAAATCACCTCCTCCGAGCTATGATCATTGTAATCTAGAAAGCTTTAGATGCTTTTTGAATTGGCTCAGCGTAAGTCTGTTTGCACCCTCGGCTATAACAAGCTTATTGTACAGTGTAACAGATCGGTAAATAAAAGTACGCTTTCCATGATTCGTTTTTACACGTGGCAAGCTTAGATAGTTCGATGTGCGCGTGTCACGTAACGTTCTGTCGCGATTAGTGTGAAGGTACTGAGCTATTGAATCCGGCTGTCCTGTTCCCCAGATCTTGTACAGAAGGCACAGGTCCGAGTAATTGACTAGCTTTTGGGCCGGTAGCCAGCCCAATGAATCGATACAATCAGAAATGTGGTCATATTTTCGCCTTCCTGATACTACTCTTGCTGCGAAATTTATAACTTTTTGCAACTTGGCAATTCGCCCAGCGTTGGCACTTCCATAAACCTGAATGCAATAGCGCACGTGTGACAGAACTAGTGCATCAACAATTCGAGGCAAGAGATGATGCGGAAGAAGGTGGCGGGCGCTGGCTAGACCTATTAAAATACCGGTAAATTTGCTGACAACTTGCTCGACATGCGGTTCCCACGACAAGTTACAGTCCATTTTAACACCGAGGTTTCGAACACACTTGGCCGGCTGTAATGTTTCGCCTAAAAACTGCACATTAACTTGCCCTTCCCCTACGTACTGCAGCTGACGCCTATCACCTATCAGTATCATCTCAGTTTTCGCTGCGTTTACTTCTTATATCAACTTTGCATCCCGAATGGGCCGAGCGGCGAAAACAATCGCGGCTCTGAGAGGGTCCCGAAAGGCTAAGCGCTAGACGGGGTTAAGGCACCCGGAGAATAAAACGCCGGGACCAGAAAGCGGCCTCATTTCCAGCACTGGGTCAGAATGTGATGAGGGAGGGAGTCCACATGACATTGTGAGACTGAGGAGGTTTGATTGTGCAAGAGGAGAAGGGAGCGACAAAGGTCCAAAACGTCATGATGATTAGTTGGGCCTTTGGGACAACCAGACCACGCAGTTCATCCTCCCTCTACCACCCTAGCTAGCCATTCCTCCCTCCACTAGCTTCATTAGCATCACCCCTTCACTCTATCTTGCTCCTCCGTACCTCTGTGAGTTTCCTCATCTCCTCCTCCGCCCTCTGCCGTGCCGTTAGCACATCTCGGTCGCAGTCTGTGCGGTACGACTGCAGTCTGGCACGGGTCTCAGTCAGCTCAGACTCCAGTCTAGTCCGCTCCTGGCGCTGACGCTTCAGCTCGGCCACCGCCTCCGACGCCTGGCCAGAACGACCGGTGGTGTCATAAGAGGATATAGGAGTGACAAAATCATGGAATAAATGACGTCACCAGATAGGACAGAGATGAGGTATTTAGAAATCAAACAAATAGACGTCATAAAAGGGGACATTACCTATAGGGCTTGTTGCCGCGCGTGCGACTACCTCCTACTTTGTGTAGTAGTGATCAGGTATAGTTTTGTACTTTGCATTTATGTACTGGAGTTGAACAATCGACACGATAGGCAAGAGATCACGAGGCACCGCTCAATCAGTAACACATCTTATACAAGGAGAACAGAATAACAGACAGAGCCAAGACATTGTACCAGCACCTACCTGTTTCTCGGCTCGCTCCGTCCTCCTGGTCAGCTCGTGCCTCTCGGTGTCCTGCTGTACCCGGGCCTCGCGCTGCTGGGCGTCCAGAGACTGGGCGGAGAAAACACGACAGTTCGGTTACAGGTACTATACCAGTAATAAACGGACACAAACGAGCCTCACGATGCCAGGGGCCCAGACACTGGGAGGGAGAAGAGCAGACAGACCGGTCATGCAATATCAATGAAAAACAGATACACTTGTATCTTACGCTTTCAATGGAGTGGACGGGTATAACACAGAACTTTTAGTCATACAATATCAATGAGAAACTGACTCAATGAGAAACTGACTCAGGCTGAAGAAGAGAGTCCAGAGGCTAGGCAGGAAAACGCAGACAGTTCGGTTAGAGGTACTATATCAGTGAAGAACGCCTCACAATGCCAGGAGCCCAGAGAGTCGGCGGGAATCCTGATAAACTCAGATACGTGCCCAGAGACTGGATGGGAGACGCACAGCTCGGTCATACAGCATCCTGCAATATCACCTGACTTACCAGCTAGCCTGCAATTTCGATTGTCCAACTGACTGACCTGTAATTTCGCCTGCAGCCGGGTGACCTGCGTCTGCGAGTCGATCAGCGCGGCCGCCTGCTTCCTCAGCTGATTCTCATAGCTCAGCCGCTGCGGGTCCAGCCGCACCCTCTTCTCCTGGGACACTCCGCCCGCCGCGGAGCCCGAGCCATCACGGCTGACTGTGGAGAGGCTGTGGGCGCCGCCGGGGGTGGCCACCGGGGGCAGGAGGCCGCCGCTCGCGGGCCGCTTCTGGGCCGCCATCCCGGCCACCGAGCCCAGCGGACTGGCCATCACAGTGGCACAGTGTTTATGTGCTACCGCTGTATATGTGCTATATGTGCTGTATATGTGCTACCGCTGGTCAGCCAAAAACTGAAACAAAGATGGTAAGATATGGTCAGATTGCGACAAAGTCCGGAAAAGGACTGATCATTGCTTCTCGTTTCTTCATGTGAGCAAAGATCTTTATCCCATGTTCCTTTCCAAGAGCGAAACTTGGTCTTTGTTGCACATTTCGGTAGGTATCTTATGCAGTAGCAGTATTGCTGCAGTGATACTTCACAGTGTTATGAGGTTATCGGTGGAGCCAACAAATAACTAAATGCACATACTTTTATTTTAAATAATTTTATTTTAAATAATTTTATTTTAAATAAAAGTACGTGCATTTAGTTATTTGTTGGCTCCACCGATAGCCTCATAACACAAATATGTCCCTAAATAATCAGCATACTTTACAGTGCATTCCGCTGTTTACAAGTAAGCAAGACACCTGTTTTGTGACTACCCAATGCTGATACAATGATTTAAGCAAAACAAAACCGACTTTCCGAAGAATGTGAGACAAATAGGGGAAGCCGGGGGAAGCCCGGCATAGTAAGCTCTTTTTCATTTTTATTACATACCATACGTGCTGTATAAAATGTTGATATCCTGTTAGCTAGCTAAGTTCATTGGTCGTGTCTTCCCAAAAATTCGGTTTCGTGGAATAAGTATAAGTTTGAGAAAATCGAGTTTTAAAAGTGTTGATTTTTCTGGGGTAAGCCCGGCATAGGGGTAACGCCGGCCACCTCCCCAGCGCTTTACAACGAGTTGATGAAACCATTATGTGTCTTCCAAATATTAACGGAAAGTGAAACATTAAGGCACTGATTAGCTCTGGACATATTAGAGTTTATGTCACTACTGGTATTTTAGCTAGCGTCTACCACATATACAGTACAGGTCGATGAAAATCGTGATGCAAAATTGACAAAAAATGTGTATTTCAAAATTCCTTAAAATTTATTTTTCTTGTTACCTTAATGCATCATATTGCATATCATTCGACTCGGCTGATGAAGAAGAACACAGCGACACCATTTTTGAAGCTCTAGCTTCATTGTCTGTCGCGTTATCTGCAAAAACGTAGTTTGACCCTAGTTGACCTTAAGTGACATGACTGGCTTTGTCTATGATAACATGTTTATTTTCGAAATTTATCTTTGATCTAGGTGTAAACCAAACCTGCTCAGTACCTATGATCTCATGGAAAACAGTGGTTAAGTGGCATTGCTCTCGGTTGGGGGTAAGCTTGGCCACTCGCCCGGGGTTACCCCAATGTGCTAATTTTTATTTTAGAACAGCGATGTTCGAAAAAAATGTCATACTTAAGCCAGCCTGCCTCTTCACCCCTCACTACAAACACTTAAACGGTCCTTACATAACATTCGTATAAGTATTTGTACTGTATGGTATAACATTAACAGTGCAACATATCTCACTTTTTAGCTAAAAACCCTTAAAATATCATTTTTGCTCTATAACTTTAACAATATGCAATTTTTGTCAGCCTTAACTTTTTTGCTGGCGTTACCTTAGCTGCCACGCTGAAAGGACAAACAGTTGAGCATTTTATTGTGAATAATTTAGCCGGAAACGTGGTGGCCGGGCTTCCCCCGCGCCCGGGCTTCCCCCGGCTTCCCCTATACCTACTATAGTACGAGCAGGCGAGCGAAGCAAAGTATTTTCAATATAACGAAGAAAAAAAACTCAGTATGAGCGGCCCGGCCCGGCCTATAAACACTTTTGAAAGGTTTATAACTCAGCAACCGCTGGGCCGATTGACATGCGAACATGCAGTCTTTCTTTGTTGGGTAGTCCCATCCCTTCTACTCCGTAGTCTACCATTAGGGCATGCCACTAGAAACGGATCAAGCGTTACCGCCCATTTCGAAGGGCACCGGCCGAATAAAACAAGAATAAAAATTCAGATTTTCAGCGGCGCCCGGCGTTACAGTCTCCCTCTCCGCTCCGGTGCAGGTACTGGAGCGAGCGGCCCCAGTGGCCCGCTCTCATCTGGTGCATCAAAATGGTAGCTTCTCGGTCCTTTCCGAGCGGCCGAGCGCTCCCAAACGAAGGTTGCCATAGTGACTGAGGGGACAGGGCAGTTTGTCGCGCCACTGAAGCCAAGCCGCACAATGAACCACCAGGGTCAGTGATCGGAGGGCTGTTCACGGGCACCAAAAACTGCTGAGTGCAGTGTGTGCGGCGTGTGCAGCAGGCGTGAGGGTAGGGGATGGGACGGGTAGGTCCAAGGCAGTATATGGTAGGTCGGTATGACGTCACACAGCTGTGTGCGGTGACGGAAGGATGACATAGGGACGCAGTGGGCGGAGCTTGGAGCCTGTACGGTCCTACCACACACAAGGCCCGTGAACGGCCCTCAGGTGTCCAGGGGCACTGCGTCCTGGTTCAGGGGGCAGCCACTTGTTTCCCCTAATTCCCCTCCATCCCGCGGTGGGCAGCAACCCACTGCAGGATTACTTCAGAGTGCATGGCGGATGTTCAGCAATGTTTACATTTTACAATACCTATCTCCATGTCAAGGGTGGATGCCTGGGTGGCCGATCCCCCACTGAGTAGACTCAGGGCTGCTCACGAGGGGTTTGAGCACAAAACAACCATTGCAGGGACAGCTCATCTTAAACCTTCGGTATCGGTAACCCTGGCGTCACCGGTAGTGTTTTCGTGTAAGGCTAAGGTTTCCTGTATTAGGCCGCCGTGCCAAGCTGAAGCATGCTGTGACGTCACTGGGTAAGAGATGATAACGTACCACGGTTATCAGTATCGACCGACTCAGAGCGACTCAAACTCACTCAGACCGACTCAACCGACTCAAATCGATTCCGATCGACTCAGACAGACTCAGAACGACTCAAACCGATTCAGGCAGACTCAAACCGACTCAGGCAGACTCAGACCGATTCAGATCGATTCAGGCCGACTCAGATAGACTCGGAACGACTCAAACTGACTCAGACCGACTCAACTGACTCAAATCGATTCCGATCGACTCAGTAAGACTCAGAACTATTCAAACCGACTCAGGCAGACTCAAACTGACTCGACCAACTCAAACCGATTCAGATCGACTCAGACTGACTCAAACTAACTCAGACCGACTCAAGCGACTCAAATCGATTCCGATCGACTCAGACAGACTCAGAACGACTCAAACCGATTCAGGCAGACTCAAACCGACTCAGGCAGACTCAGACCGATTCAGATCGATTCAGGCCGACTCAGATAGGCTCAGAACGACTCAAACTGAATCAGACCGACTCAACCGACTCAAATCGATTCCGATCGACTCAGTTTGACTCAGAACTATTCAAACCGACTCAGGCAGACTCAAACTGACTCGACCAACTCAAACCGATTCAGGTCGACTCAGATAGACTCAGATAGACTCAGAACGACTTAAAATGACTCAGACCGACTCAACTAGCTCAAATCGATTCCGATCGACTCAGACAGACTCAGAACGACTCAAACCGACTCAGGCAGACTCTCACTGACTCGACCGACTCAAACCGATTCAGATCGACTCAGATAGACTCAAATCGATTCCGATCGACTCAGACAGACTCGGAACGACTCAGGCAGACTCAAACCGACTCAGGCACACGCAAACTGACTCGACCGACTCAAACCGATTCATATCGACTCAATCCGACTCAGCTAGACTCAGAACGACTCAACCTGACTCAGACCGAATCAACCGACTCAAATCGATTCCGATCGACTCAGACAGACTCAGAACGACTCAGACTCAAACAGACTCAGTCAGACTCTAACCGACTCAACCGACTCAAACCGATTTAGACCGACTCAGACCCAGCGGTGACCTGAATCATCAGACCCAAATCAGTTTGAGTCGGTCGAGTCAGTTTGAGTGTGCTGAGTCGGTTTGAGTCTGCATGAGTCTGTCTGAGTCTGTCTGAGTCTGTCTGAGTCTGTCTGAGTCGATCAGAATCAATTTAGGTCGGTTGAGTCGGTCCCCAGTAAACATGCCGACGTCGGCCCGACGTCGGGCCGAGGCTCGGCCCGACGTCGGCCCAACGTCGGTTCAACCTCGGCCCGACATCGGCTGGACGTCGGATATGCCCGCATGTTCCGACGTCCAGCCGAAGTCCAGCCGACGTCGAGCCGACGTCGGGCCGAGGTCGTTTGCCGAGGTTGACGAGATCGTTCGTCGTTGGACCGACGGGGCCGACGTCGGCATGTTTATTGGGACAACGCGCCAAAAATATCAACCGGCGGCGGGATTCGAGCCCCCCAGTCGCCGACGTCGGCATGTTTACTGGGACAACACGCCAAAAGCATCAGCCGGCGATGGGATTCGAACCCCGTGTCATTTGAACGCGAGGTCAGTGCGCTAACCACTACACCACGCAGGCAGATAACGAACTGCGTTTGTTTTGTTGGGTTATGCCCTTTCGGTCTGACAAGACCATTTCAGAGCCGGAAGGATGATAGGATGGAGACATTGGTCTTCTTGGCGAGCACCCTGGGTCCAGTTCATATAGAGTCCCTGGTCCCATTGCTGTTACGTGACACTTGTTGGGAAGGGCGACCCCACAATGGATTCATATAGCCACTCTTAGACTTACACACCTGCACCAACGTTTCCCAAAGTGTCCCTTTGATAAGTGGCACTTTGGCAAAGTGACACTTGCTGACTGGCCTTTCTATATGAACTGGGCCCGGCCTTGGTGAGTTGCCGGGGCTGAGCCTGACCAAAGGATAGGCCGAGCAGCCCCCAAGCACTCACCGCACCCGGCTACGGGCGAGCTCGGCTTACGGGCAATCCCAAATGGGATAAAGTTTCCCGTCCAGTCCGGATCAGGGGGTTGCGGCGTGGAGGAAGATTTGAGTTTCCTGAGGATATTTTGAATACAGAAGCTCTTTATGAAACATGAAACATGTATTTTATATTATTTTAACGGTCAAAACAGCGGCCGATGTCGGTCCGACGTCGCCCCGACGTCGGCCCGACGTCGGCTGGACCTCAGCAATTGATCTCGGTCCGACGTCGGCCCGACGTCGGCTGGACCTCGGCTAGACGTCGGAACATGCGGGCATATCCGACATCCAGCCGACGTCGTGCCGAGGTTGGACCGACGTCGGGCCGACGTCGGCATGCCGATGCCGAGTTGCCGACGTCACCCCGACGTCGGCCGACGTCGGGCCGACGTCGGCATGTTTACTGGGTCTGAGTCAGTTTGAGTCGTTCTGAGCCTATCTGAGTCGGTCTGAGTCGATCTGAATCGGTCTGAGTCTGCCTGCGTCGGTTTGAGTCTGCCTGAGTTGGTTTGAGTCTGCCTGAGTCTCTCTGAGTCGTTCTGAGTCTGTCTGAGTCGATCGGAACGATTTTAGTCGGTTGAGTCGTTCTAAGTCAGTTTGAGTCGTTCTGAGTTTATCTGAGTCGGTCTGAGTCGATCTGAATCGGTCTGAGTCTGCCTGAGTCTGTCTGAGTCGTTCTGAGTCTGTCCGAGACGTTCTGAGTCTGTCTGAGTCGATCGGAATCGATTTGAGTCGGTTGAGTCGGTCTGACTTAGTTTGAGTCGGTCTGATTCGATCTGAATCAGTTTGAGTCGGTCGAGTCAGTTTGAGTCGATCAGAATCGATTTAAGTCGGTTGAGTCGGTCTGAGTCAATTTGAGTCATTCTGAGTCGGACTGAGTCGATCTGAATCGGTTTGAGTCAGTCGAGTCAATTTGAGTCTGCCTGAGTCGGTCTGAGTCTATCTGAGTCTCAGTCGATACTGAAAGCGTGATAAGTTATCTTCTCTTACCCAGTGACGTCACAGCATGCTTCGGCTTGGCACGGCGGCCTAATACAGGAAACCTTAACTTTGAACGAAAACGCTACCGGTGACGCCAGGGTTACCGATACCCATATTTTTTTCTAGTCTGGGGAGCCGAGGTGGCTTGTGGTTTAGACAGCCTCTACCTATTCACTATTGGTGTCTGGTGACAGTGGTGACCACAGGTGTTGCCTGGGTCATTCATGATGTACATAACCCAGTAAACATGACGACGTCGGCCCGACGTCGGGCCGAGGCTCGGCCCGACGTCGGCCCAACGTCGGTTCAACCTCGGCCCGACATCGGCTGCACGTCGGATATGCCCGCATGTTCCGACGTCCAGCCGAAGTCCAGCCGACTTCGAGCCGACGTCGGGCCGAGATCGTTTGCCGAGGTTGACGAGATCGTTCGTCGTTGGACCGACGGGGCCGACGTCGGCATGTTTATTGGGACAACGCGCCAAAAATATCAACCGGCGGCGGGATTCGAGCCCCCCAGTCGCCGACGTCGGCATGTTTACTGGGACAACACGCCAAAAGCATCAGCCGGCGATGGGATTCGAACCCAGTGTCATTCCAACGCGAGGTTATTGCGCTAACCACTACACCACGCAGCCAGCTAGATTTGGTTTGTTTTGTTCTGTTATGACCTTTTGGTCTGACAAGACCATTTCAGAGCCGGAAGTTTCATAGGATACAGACATTGGTCTTCTCGGCGAGCACCCTGGGTCCAGTTCATATAGAGTCCCTGGTCCCATTGCTGTTACGTGACACTTATTGGAAAGGGCGACCCCACAATGGATTCATATAGCCACTCTTACACACCTGCACCAACGTTTCCCAAAGTGTCCCTTTGATAAGTGGCACTTTGGCAAAGTGACACTTGCCGACTGGCCTTTCTATATGAACTGGGCCCGGCCCTGGTGAGTTGCCGGGGCTGAGCCTGACCAAAGGATAGGCCGAGCAGCCCCCAAGCACTCACCGCACCCGGCTACGGGCGAGCTCGGCTTACGGGCAATCCCAAATAGGATCAGGGGCGTAGGCAGGGGGGGGGCCACTGGGCCATGGCCCCCCCTTGGGCGCCGAAGGCGCCCTTTGCGATTGGAGGGCGCCGAAGGCGCCCTCCAATCGCAAATGCAATTGTAATAGAATCGAATCGAAAAACAATCGCGACTGGAGGGCGCCCAATCGCGAATGTGTTTGCAGGGAAAATACGGTTGGAGGGTGTGGTAGTGTGCTCCTCGAGTGGCCTCCCTGGAGCCGCCTCTGCGGTTACTTGCCCGCCGGCGCATGGGCCGACGGCCGGGGTCAGCGGACGCAGTTGGAACGTGTGGCAGTCTGGTTCGAGACGCAATACAAGAGGGACCGCTACTGTCGCCTATAACATGGCGCAGCCGGCAGGGTGTTTTTAACCGCGGGGTGGAACAGAAGTAGTTGGTGTTACGGTGACAGAGCGGAGTGATGTCTCTGAACAGTGAGAGTGTGGACGTTCCGCGGAGTGATGTCGTCGTGGCCCCGGCGGCCGGGGCTGGCCCGGTGTGGTCTGGTCGAAACACTCGACCCGACAGGCTGGACATCGCCAGTGACCGAGGCGAACTGTTTAACGTCTGGAGGGAGCGATGGGAAGACTATGTTCTACTGTCCGGCTTGCAGCGGGCGGAGCCACGCGTCCAGATTGCTGCCCTCCGAGACTGCCTCACGGACGACACCGTCCGAGTTCTGCGGAACCTGGAGTTAAGTGAACGTGACCGTATCGATGTGAAAAAATCAATCGACGCTTTAGAAAAATATGCTAATGGCCAGGTGAATGAGGTTATTGAACGTAAGAGGTTCAACGAGAGGATACAGTCACAGGGCGAAT